CAGATGCTGCTGGTGCAATAAGCTGTACGTTTTACGTCCAATGGATGATGATCTGATTAGTCGACTAATCAGAAAAATAATCGGTGACTAGTCACTAGTCTGAGCAGCAGCAGCAGTGAGTCAGTCTCCACAGGCACCCGTGTTAAAATAAACATGTTTAGTCTCTGTGGATAATTTCCTTCTTCATAACACAGGTATGGGGAGGATGTTTCTGTTACTCACCTGTTTTCATTATTATCACTTGTTTGAGGGGCGTGGCCTCTGACTGACAGGTGGATGATGACACAGGTGGATGTAGCTGCTACCTGTCTGCTAGCTTCACCTCTGCACCGTGTTTGTGCTGTTGGTAACTTTTGGAGCGTTTCTAATGACATCACCCGACCAATAACACGGCTGCTGGGAGGTCACTGTACTAACAGACCGTCCATAAAGGCGGAGCTCCTGTTTGGGTGCACACTGAAATTCTGGGATTTTGATTGGTTGCTGCTGCACCATCTTGTCCAAATATGGTCATTCCTAGAAACGAAAAGCAACGTGGAGGCAGAAAAAATGCCGAAATTAAAATGGCTGAAATTCAGCGAGGCTGTGTCCGTCTTAGACGTACAGTCTGTGGTGGCATGTTGATCGTTGCTATGGTGAAGGAAGGTGTCGACACAGCGCCATCGAGTCGCTGCAGGCTCAGAAAAACATTCTTTGTCGGCTGGAATGGAAACAGGAAGTAGAACAATGATGGTTTCCTGCTCCTACACAGTTACTGCGAGCTGATTGGTTTACAGTTCAGTGTGTGCTCACCTGAGGCTACGGGGTGGTTCTCAGCGAGTTTTAAACGTGCCTCAGACACCTGAAGGCACCGCTGTGGGGACCTCTGGGGGAGTCTGGCTGACAGTAATCTGATTACAGCATGAGACACAGGAAGTGAAGCTGTCCACCCCCCCTTTGAGCCCCCTGCTGTGAGGTCTCATACACTGAGGTTACGGCTCTGGCGTGTGTTCTTGCAGGTAGTGAGGGACACTCTCCGGCATTTGTGTTGTTGTTGGAGTGACCAGAGGAGGAGGCGGAGCTCACAGTTGACTGAGACACCATCTGTCCTCGCTGTCTCATGAGGAGAATTGGACATGCTCTGCCGCTCGCAGGACACATGAGCCACAGAGCTCACCTGCTCAGGTGTGTGTGTGTGTGTGCGTGTGTGTGTGCGTGCGCGCGCGCGGTTTCATGTTGAGGTGAGTCACATTCAAACCAGTCAGCTGGTATCAGCTGTCAGGTGGAAAGGTGACTGCTGCTCGGCTCTGATAGGACGCCTCGAGTATCATCGTTAGCTGTGAGATGGCCGAGCGCTCGGGTTTCAGATGATTTCATTCGGTGTGATAAATCAAACGCACCCTCTGCTTCTTGGTGCCGAGGTCAGGGGCAGGATCCCTGCATAGGAAGTTTCGGTGACCTTTGACCCCTTATAGGGTCTCGGGGTTCCCTCCATTTGTTTGAAGCTAATCTCGCAGCACCGTCACAGGCCGCCATGCACTCGTTGCTGTTAGCTGTGATGCGACCTCTGCCACGCCCATGTTGGTTTAGGTTCAGGGCTAACTCTGGGGCAGCATCACTACTTATCTGATGCATTGCCATGACAGCTGATGCAGCAGACCCAACCTGTGTTAGATCAGAGTCAGTCAGCAGAAGTCTGTGCCTGTTGGCCAATCAGATGTCTAGAAATGGCGTCGGTGCTCCTGTTGGTGAGTCACGTTGACTCTGATTGGAGGCGCATCGGTAATTAAACGAGCAGAACTCGAGTTAACTTGAGTGCAGCTGTGAGCGCGCTTGTCTGCCACAGGAAGTGCAGTCACATGATCACAGAACCTGCGCCAGTCGGCACCAGCTCAGCTTCATGTGAGGTCAAAGGTCACGGAGTTTTACTGGGTTTTTACTGCGTCGACCTTCAGAGTATCAGCAGTATTACTGCTAGTATCAGTAATCCTAGTACTGCTCTTTAGTCGCACTAGCCCTCTGAGCAGCTTTGTTATTTACTGGCACAGCAGTCACATGACCTCCGCCCTCACAGATCCATCCTACCCATAATCCTCTCTGAGTGGAGATAAACCTCTATGGCATGTATATTGACACACACACTCCCGCAGCAGGTGGTCATCCTGACATCGACCCTTGCCTCCAATTGGACGGTATTGATCACATATGTGTGATGGGTGCAGGAACCTTGTGGTGCATTGTGGGAGATGCGGTTTGCACCATCCAGCCTTTGTGATCTCGCAGACACGGCGCTGCGGCTGCTGGATTTCCAGCATGCCATCTGCTGCAGTTTGACCTTCAGCCGTAGATGAGTGAGCTGTGATGTCAGAGGCAGGTGGTCAGCTGCACTTCCTCCCAATCAGACGGCCGTGACGTGGGCCTGCAGAGCCTGCGAACTGACCCGGGATCAGCTCAGCTCACTGTGTGTTTGGGCGAGTGTGTCTCTCAGGTGTTGAACTCCTCACTGTGATTGGTCAATGAGCAGCTCAACCTGCTAAATCAGTTCATGTTTACGTGAACACGTGTACACAGAGCAGGGCGATATGACCAAAAATATGTATCACGATATACATTTGAAAATTTGTGATAACGATATAAATGACGATATGATTGACACGAGACAAAATACTTTACAACTCCTCAACTTTATTAGTGCAAAAAAACCCCATCAATGTATTTCCACTGAAACAAGCAGCTGTTTTTTATCTGCATTAAACTTATATAAACATGTAACAGTGCAAATTCCTCGCTGACAGTTTAACCAAAAGGCGTTTCAGTGGAAACTGGCCGACACATCCTCAGCATAACCATGTATAACATCCACACAACTTAAAGAGGTTATACACACACAATACGGTAACATTATGTTGAAGCGCAGTGCGTATCACTCTGCGAGGCTCCGCCTACGATAGCCGTAACGCTCCAACAATCCATCAAGCGGTGCGGCTTCGTAGCTCAGCAAAGTCGTACTGAAACATCTGACAGATTTTCGAGCGCCGTGCACATAAACTCGTTTCGAGGTCAGTAAACACAACCAGAGTTCATATATAAGGCGCACGGGATTATAAGGGGCTCTGTCGACTTTCAGACAAATCAAAGGATTGATTTTAAGTGCGCCGTATTTTCCAAACAACACGGTAATAACGACGGCCCGCTAGCATGCGCTACCAAAAATAGTGCTTTGTTGTGTATCTGACGGACGAAAGATAAACCAGTTCCACACCAGTGAAGCTGCAGCATTTTTACAAACCAGTCCAGGTTCATCTGTTTCATTCAACGATCCGCTTTCGCTCTTCTCATTCTGCATCGCCGCCATGCTTTTTTCCGCTATGTGCGTATGTAAACAAAAGCACTGTGCATGCGCGTTTTACCCATATTCTATCGCCATATTTCATTTTCTTATCGTTGCCCAACATCATACCGGTGTTACTGTGAACGGTGTGAGATGGCCCAGCACTACCTGTCTGACACACCTGTGCAGGTTCAGTCTTGGGGAATAACAAACGTGTTGTGTATATTTACATTTTTGCTCATAAATATGTTTGTTTTATTTCATTAAAATTTTATTTTTTATTTGTTTCTCCTCTGCAAACGTTTTATTTTAGTTTTTCTCACTTTGGTCTTTACTGGTGTGCACGTGTGTGTGCGTGTTCTTCGTCCTGCGCCTTGTTGGCCTCAGTCTGCTTCCTGTGTTGTGCGCTCGGCCCTCCTCTCGTGTCCTCTGTGTGGCGGCGGCGCTGACTCGTGTTTCCGTTCCTCCATCTTGTGTTTCAGGTACTTTCAGGCAGCGTGAGCGTTGCACGCCGGCAGGAGGAGGATCTGTGTGTGCGGACATACAAGGTGAGGATGTGTTTGCGGTCTCTGCTCTTTCCTGGTGAGGGGTTCAGATTCTGCTGCAGCCGTTGCATGACCAAAGCGGTCATGTCGATTGGCCAGGTGACATCTCCATGGTGACGCTGCAGGTAGCACTCACATTCAGCTCTTCGTTCGAGCTAACTGCAGCTTCATGTGGAAAGGGTGAAATCTGACCCGAACCCGCAGCCAGGATCAGCTACAGGAGGATTATTCTGAGCATCACTCGTGCTAAGCTGCTCTGGCCTGGATCAGTCTGACGAGCTCACACCATTGGCTAGCTGGGTCACGGCCGCACTTCCTGTCTAACAGCTGCTCTCTGTTTCAGGCTGGATCGTCCTGTGGATGACCTCCTCTCGGGACTCGCTCATCCTTCAGGTACAGACACCAGCGACCCGATGATGCTGTCACACACACGTAGCACATGTACATTCACCTGTAATAGCCAGCAGAAGGAAGGGGAGAGACTAATCGCCCAGATCGTGTAACCGAAAGACTTTCCGCAAGCCGCAGTAAGCTCCTCCTCCTCTTCAGCTGTCGGTCGTGTCATCACGCAGGTGAGACGTTTGAGGGGCGTTTGTCCTTCTAACATGCTGCAGGTCTGTCTCGCCATCGCCGCTCTCAACTCCGCAGCTTGTCATCAGATCTGCACTGTTTTTGAGGTCACTTAATAGAGGAAAGGGCCTCACCCCAGCCCCTAATTACGTCTCCCAGCAAACTGACACATCCTTGGAAAGTTGGAATTAAAATTAATTGCAGCCAGTTTGTGATTAATTACAGCGGAGGGAAGGACCGCTCCCTGACCACATAAAAGGTAGCACGCCTGGGGTGGACGACGAATGGTGGGTGTCTGCGTGGTGTTGGGGGACAATTAAATTCATACCTCCACCTTTAGATTTGAGATATTGTAGCTTATGTCGGAGAAGGCTCTCCTTTACCAAGGAAACCGAGACGGGAAGCAAAGAGACAGCGGCGCTGTCGTCTTAATAAAATGTCCTCGTCTTCCTCCTCACCTCAAATCTGTGCTGATGTCATGGCACTAACACACAAATGCATAAACGTGCTCATTTATTTCCCAAATTGTTCTAAGTGCTTATTATAATTACTTATTAGCAGAATAGACATGAGATCCTGCCGTCAGGTTCACGCGTCCTAAAAATCCCCCGTTCCCTGTCAAAGACAGTCTGGTTACATCATTTATTATTATTTAAGAGTCCAGCAGCGTCGCAGACACTTCAGTCAGCAGCTACCAGAGGCTAACGGCTACCCTACTCCCAGAAAGGTTCAGTGTATCGTCAGCAGCTGTTGTCGGTCAGCAGTGAGCTCCTCGGACTCCTGTCAGAGTTTTACAGGCGTGTCCAGAGGAAGCAAAGGCAGACGCTTCCCACACGGCATTGACAGCTGAGGTAAACGGTGACCTGACAGCCTTCAAAGATGGGGAAAATCTCCCTCACTCACTGTTCAGCTGCCTGCTCTCTGCTGACCTCTAGTGGTGACATTTTACACGCAGCTGTCAGATCGATCCAAACCAGCAGCAGCAGGTTCAACACCGATCTGTGACCGACTCAGATGTCTCAGAGGCTGAGTCGGTTGGCTGAACTTTGCCCTCTTTCAGTGTCTTCCTCTTGCCGTGTCTCATACAGTCTCCATCCCCATCATATGACATCACGTGGCCTGACTTTACTACCCTTCCATGCGTTGCTGTTGATTAACCTTCTGTCTTCATGTAAATGAAAGTGGGCAGGACTCGGGTTTCCTGTTGGCGTCCTCACATGCGGCGTGTTCTCCCGCTGAAATCAGTTCATTCATTTTCCAGTAGCTCCCAGTTCAGGCGCTGTGGTCCGTTTCTCACAGGCGTACGCAGCTGATTTTAAACGCCGCTGCCTTCAACTTCACTCACAGAGCAGAGTTCATTTCAGCAACATCAGAGACGTCCGGAGGGATTTGTCTTTCGTGAAATGATCCAATATGAACTTTTAAAGATTGCTGATTTATAAAACATTAACAAAGCTTCAGGCGTGTGCATGTGAGCGTGCACATAGGCGTGTGTTCGTGAGGTGGAACAGAGGGCGTTTCCATCGTGTGGAGAAGCTTTAAAGGACGTTCAGTGTGACATCAGAGGTCCTCACAGAGTGTGTGTGTGTGTGTGTGTGTGTGTGTGAGAGAAACAGGAAGTTGCACAGTGATCAATGGCCTGCCATTGGCTCCCCAAGGGCAGGACGCGGTCATGTGATGTGCATTAATTGGAGCAGAGAGTGGCGGGTGCGTGTCTGAACAGTACATTCACACGTTACAAATCAGAGCTTTGACCTTTGACCTCCACATGCCAGTTGAACATCCAGTGAGCTCACAGTCAGTCAGAGCAGAGCGCTGTGGCAGCTGTAATCATGTGACATCATCATCAGCTGTTAGCACATTAGCAGTGTTAGCTCCACTCTGTCACATGCTAACATTAGCGTTAGATCAATGCAGCTGCACTTCCTGTTCTGGAAACAAACGCAATCAATGAGAGGCCTGAGGGACGGACACGCATGCACACACACTTTACTGTAGTGGCGAGGGTGTATTTGATGCTGATGACGGGCGACCGAGCATCGATCTGCACACACAGAGAGAGGGTGAGGGGGCGACGGTTGCAACAGTCTAGTTGCGGTCGAGGCGTTGTGGTGGGTGGTTGTCGGGCGTCCGAGTCGTTTTGTGCCTCCTCTAACTCGTCTTCTCCTGGCAGGACTGACAGACCGACACGAAGTTACACAGGAAGGAAGCACGGCCTAGGATGGCGAGTGCGGCGCCGGCCAGGAAGCCGTACCGTAAGGCTCCACCGCAGCACCGCGAGTCACGCCACGCCCTGCCCACTGCTCCGCCGCCACCTGCACCGCAGCCCGACATCAATCAGGTAATCAAACACACTTTAAAGACACCTCCACACCCCCCGCAGCACCTTGTCCGTCAGCGGCTGTCTGGCGATGGGATGAGGCCTGGCGTCCCAACCCTGCCGCCGCCACTCTCAGACAGCGAGCTGGAGGTTTCCAGCCTTTCCAGCCTGGAGCTCTGCACCCCGCCGCCGCTCTTCAGAGGACATATCCACCAACCCAGCTCAGCGAAAACTGCGGTGGCGGGCATGACTGCATCCTGTCACGATGCCATGATTCCTCACCGAAAGCCACGACCTCAGCGCGGCACGAGTCCTCGCAATGTCAAGACCTCCATTAACACAGGAAACCAGGCTTTCCTGGGACATGGAAGCCCCGCCCTAGCCCCGAAACACGCAGTGAGCTGCAACCCTCGAGGAAGACATCACCACCTCAATTACTGCATGAACGCCGCTGGCCGGACGCGGACCGCCAGCGCTCCTCGGAGCATCCTGAAGCAGCCGACTTCACTGGGTGTGGAGACCTATGACATTATCAGGAAGTCAAAGTCGGTGGAGATGCTAGATGACGGCAGAGGGCGGAGCAGCGCCAGCCGGTGCCCTCCGACCCGTTCTCTGGATCGGGTAGAGCAGCAGGGGCTGACCTGGCGGCGGTCCTCGTCCCCGCCCTCCCCTGTCAGGACTGACTGGAACTGGAGGATGCAGGCGCTGCAGGAGAAGGTCCGCTTCTCTAACTTCTTGGATGAGATCACCTGTCGGGTCCTTAGCCCCGCCCGCCTAACACTGCTCGGCAGGTCGGCTTCTAAAGAGTATATAAGCCCCGCCTCCCAGCGCCGCCACCCCGCCTACAGAAACCAGCAGGTGGAGGGGTCTTCTGCAGACCGGACTCGACGCTGGGACGACTGGGTGGCAGCGCTGCAGCGGCCCGGAGGCACGCAGGAGGAGGGGGCGGTGCGGGAGACCGCGAAGCAGCAGCAAGGGTACAGAGAGTGGGCGGGGACTAAACGGCAGGTGAAAAGAGGAGTTAAGGTGGACAAACCTCCTCTCTCTAATCTGTCACTGCTGTCACACATCAAGGTAGGTCCACTCCACCTTTACCCCGCCCCCAACCGTTTCCTGTTGTTCTTTTCCTGCTGCGGGTGAAAGGTCACCAGTCCAGGGTAGCGGACTGGTCTTAGCGGTTCACACTGAGCTCATTAGTTATTGATCATCAAGATGACATCACACAGGGGCCACATACAATACATAGGACACCAAACTCCCAGTGACGCACTCTGACCTCTGACCTCGCTTTGACCTCTGGTTGTGCACCCCTTGATTTTTGTAACTTGTGATTGGCTCTTCAGCGGTTACGCTGCGATGTTGTCTCCGTGCTGACACCATACTGCAGCAGCTTCTTGCGCTTTAATGGCGGGTATACAGGGAGTGCAGAATTATTAGGCAAGTTGTATTTGTGAGGAATAATGTTATTATTGAACAACAACCATGTTCTCAATGAACCCAAAA